AACTCACAATTCTCTCTTAAATTTAGTCTTATAAGTCAATTAGTCATATTGTCAAAAAAACAAAATATCTCACATATACCATTTTTTTAAAAGAAATTTCACTACGCTTTTGTTCGTTTATGGTCAACAGTTAACAACAAAACTGTGAGTTGGCACTTCTTTTCCTTGTAGTTTATCCCTGAGATTAGAGATGAGTTCTAAGGTTTTTGACAGTGACTCCCAACGTTTCAACCAAAAAAAGCTTTTTTCATGGCCAGCGAATTTCAATCTCTCTACAACTCGCGGATAGCCAGAAAGTATCGGAAATAATTGATAATACTCATGCAGGAATGATAATATAACAACCGTTCCTAACGTTAGTGTTTTAAATTATCACATAAAAGTACGAACTAAAAAGAAAAAACGCAAAAACACACTCTCACCTATGAGAAACAGGGGGGGGGGATAAAGTTCAATCGACGTACGACGACATTACTACCTGTGAATAGCTCATTCTAATAAATATATTTTGCTTTTTGAGCGATAAATGAAGATGTGAAATCCATGAAATTGTCAGTAATATATTTTTCTGAAATTAAGAAAAAATTTATTTCGTGATAAGCATAAAAAATTCTCAATATCATGATAATATGCATCATCATCATATCTGGCTAGACAGCCCAGGATGGGCCAGTGCCTTCCTTTGAATTCGAATCCACTTCTCTCTACTTTTGACACTTGTTCGCCAGTTTTTCTCTTTTAGAGTAAGGAAATCAGTCTCAACTATATCCAGCCATCTCAGCCTGGGTCTACCTCTTTTCCTGTTCGTTAGGGGTTTGTGTAATAGGATTTTCTTTAAATTTGAGTCATCATTCCTTCTGAAAATGTGAGCTGCCCAGTTCATTCGATTTATTTTAATGAATTTCACAATATCTAGCTCTCTGTAGATTTTATACAGTTCAGCCATTTTTGAGAGAAAAGTTTTGAGGGCCATGATAATATGCAAATTGTGTAAATGATGAGGGCTTTTTTTTAAAGTAATAAAAATACAGAATCAAAGCAATTGCCAATACGTTTTTTTAACCATTGCATTTTACTAAGTCTGTTTTAAGAAAGAAATATTTATGAAAACATAATTCTCGACTATAATTTCCTTATTTAGAATTTTATTAAAACACTTATGTACCAGTGTTGCTTAATAATAGTTTTTAATTCATTTTCAAATATTTTAATAAATCTTGCTAAAGTACATAGTACAGATGTTAAAAATTAACATAAAAATCTACCAATCTTATATTTTTAAATTTGAATACATAAGAAAATTTAATGCATTTATAGAAAGAAAAAAAAACACAGTAAACCATTAATTAAGCTTACTTGTAACATGTAAAATTAAAATTTCTTGCTGTTATTTTTTTCTTCTAACTCTTGCAATTCAATTTTTTTTTCTTTTAAAGTTTTTCTTAAACTATTAGATTTTGACAGCCATTTCGTTTCCCTGCTTGGAGAGCAAATTCATAAGCGGACTTAGTAAGTTCATCTATGCAACACAATAATCTAAGGAGTTTCTATGGACTAATTTGGAAATCTAAGTAGTTTCAAGTACTCCTTGGAGATTTTTTTATTTCCAAGGAGCTTCCATACATTCTTTGGCTTTTGTCAGCTTTTTAGAGTAAAAGGACAAACAATTTCGGAAATATCAAAATAAAAGTTATCATGAAATCCAGAAAACCAATGCGACAATTTTCCTATTAGCGATTGGTTGGCTTTGCTGAGAAAAAATAATTCATTGGACAAAAACTTTCAGAAAAAGAGTGCAAGATAAAATCTCTAATAAAATTATAACCAATTAGTTTTTGGAGAATTTCATAAAGTTAAAAATACTAAAACATTTTGAATAATTTAGTTAAAAGAAAAAAATACCCACAAAGCATCGGAACAAACTTGAACAATTAATGAATTCAGCCCACAGAATAAACGAATTTTTTTCTTAAAAAAAAAACTTTACTTTTATAATCAGAAGCAAAGATCATAATCCTTTCTTCCACATTTTTGCCTCTCTTAAACTGCATAGTCCCATAATCTACAGAGGTTAAAGATTTCTCCATTCATTTCCCAACATAAAAGAGTTTGAAATAGCATTCTAGTTTAGCAGGGTAATAATGAAGAGAATTTTAATGCAAGAAAAGTATTGCTGAGTTGATGATATTCAAACTTTTTTATGATAAATTTACTTCTAAATAAAAGTGGATATAACGGATGGTAAAATAATTTAAATTAAGAGAAAAATTCCAGCTTTTCTTTGAAATTCCCTGATTTTTTCCAGGTTTTTATCCAAATTTCCCTGACTTATCCAGCTTTTTTCCAGTATAAAAAAATTCCTTGATAATTCCAGGTTTTCCAGGTGGGTGGCCACCCTGATTAAATAACAGCAACAAAAGATTTATTAATTGACAATTAAAAACAATTAATAAAACAAAAGGACCCTCAGCAGCTAAAACGCAATATTTAAAAAAAAAACTCTTCTTTCTAGATCCGTGGTGGCTCAGGGGCTAGAGTGTTCGCTTTCCAATGAGGTGAATCAGGTTTGAATCCCAACTATGGCTGATTGATACGAATTACGCACGCAGCTTGCACCAACCACAATGCTGATTACGTAAATCAATGATTAATCAAACGTCGCACTTAGCCTTGACGCAAATTGTACATAATTCTCTGAACTTATTTTTTGTGCTCTTTGAGATTTATTAAAGCATTCTTGTGTTGTAGGAGAAAATTCTTTTAGCACTAAATCTTTGAGTTTATCGTAATTAGTTAACTCTTCTTCTGTGAACCATTAAATTGTTAGCTCTCTCACCTAAAATATTTAAAAGAATTTCACATCTAAATTCGTCAGGAACCTCTTTTGTTTTGAATGCTTTTTCCAGCGACTGAAAAAATAAATTATACGATTCTACTCGTGAGGGTACTGGTATAGTTAAGGTTTTTACCGATTTTAATAAAGTTTCGATATTAATATTATTCGGATTCTCAGAAACACTTTCTTTTGCGATTACGGAATTATGCGGTAACTCTTTTTGAATATTAGCTATGGCTAATTGTTTTTCTAATTGCGCTAATTTAATTCTCTCAAGTTCTAATTCAGATTCACTATCGGCTAATTTAATTCGCTCAAATTCTAATTTAGATTCACTATCAGACTTTTTATTTTTTACTTCCTCTATAGCGTATTCCAGTGCGCATTTAAATAGCTCTTGATCTGTTTTATAAACTTCGCTCTTTTCAATTAAAGTTTTTAAATCGGCAATTTTTGCACCCTCCGGTACATTTAAGTTTAATTCTTCTGCGACGAGTCTTAATTTGTCTTTCCATAATTTAGTGAAAAACATGTTTATAGTTTAATTCACTAAATATAAATTTAACTTTCACCTACCTTCTCAGATCGCTGTTAGACGCACTTAGGTTTCAGTTTCGAATCTCGATTGTACACGTACACATTTCACTAAACGTTTTGCACTAATTTTAGCTTTATTTTCACAAAATTCGCTCGTCCATAGATCGCTTACCCTCTCAGGCTCGGGTAAGGACCATGTTATTTCTCTCAACACAAGACTCAAAACACATATTAATGCAGCGGACTGTTATTTTATTTGCACATTGAATTCACACACTTGCCTCTTTCGAGGTTGGCAATACAGTCACTAGTTCTTGTTGCTTACACAGAGGGCGTTGCTCGCATACAAAACTGAACGGGCGCTATCATACTGTATGGATCGACGGTACACGAGATGGATTGCGGTTGAATGAATTGTGAAAGCATTGAATAGAACAATGTGTCAACCACGCTTTCGCATGATACGTAGCGAAAAAAGACATGGTAAAAAAAAAATATATCATTTTCGAAAAGGTCAAATTAAGCACTTTTTATAAACACTTTTAAGGGTTTTTAAAAAACGAAAATCCAAAATAAGCACCTTTAAGCACTTTTTAAAAATGCTACGCACTATGGTAAAACATTGTGTACTGACTTTAATTGTAGAACTATTGGGAAAACTCCAAACTCTGCCCCTTTTATTAACATTATATTAAAAATAAGTATTCTCTTTCTGCTATTACAAAACAAGTCGAAACTTTTTTTATTTAGGCTTCTAGGCTATATAAGACATATCTAGGCTTTTTTTTATTTCATAATGCAACAACAGTGCTCCCACCTTAGTGCGGTGCTGCAATTTGTTCCTGTAGATGATCCCTAGATACATGCCTGTGGTAGATAAAATTGTGCCAAAGTCAGACAAACCAGGCAGTGCCTAGGAGAGACACCAAGCAAAAAGGAAAACAGGTTGGAGGTTGAGCAAACAATACTCCCGTATAAAAACTCACCTACTTCAAAAACTCATGAATAAATATTTAAACACAAATAAGTATCAGAGCTAGAAGACATCCAGAACTTTTATGGCTGAACGCTGCTAATGCGGATTTCAAAACAATCAGAGAATATTTTGCAGCAGGAAAGCTCAGCCTAACAGGAACTGGCAAGATCTGGTTACAAGAAGCACAATATGCGAAAATGTTCTAGAGAAGGCCAGTACCAATGATGATGATAAATACAACAAATTTAACGGTTTACTCAAGTTTATATCCAAAATATAAATATTTGCTTCAATCTTATTCCGTATAAAAAAATACAGCTTTGCATGCACGTCACAAATGAACAAGCAAAATTTGTTACGTAATAGAATCAATTTAACCTCTTTCCTGGTTATAACTGATTGATTGACCTGGTTATAAAGATTGAGGCAAATGTTTTTACTGAAAAGAAAACAGTTTATAAGTTCAGTAGTCCAATTAACATTATTCTTTACAAGGTTNTAAACTTTGATTCCTTTTAGACCCTTGGAAGGCACAATATAACAAAGAATTATTGTAATTTCATGTTAATTAATATGAGAATAAGATAAATTTCAATGATGAACATCCACAACACTGAAGATAATTAAGGAAATAGGAAGTTGTAAACTTACTTTACCACCTTTTTCGACACAGTCATGCACTTTAGTCAAAAAATCTCGTTCTCTATACCATTTTGAGTCTCTAATTGTAGTACCCTCTGTAGAATCTGTGATCAGCAGGTCTGGCCTGCATTTATCAATCCACGCAGGCCCCAAGTGACGATCTGGAGTGGTGTTAAAGTCCCCCTAAAACAGAAATTAATCTGAATACATGATTCTACATGATTAAACCTATGATGTATTTCAGAATATGCACGAACAGAAAACATGCGTTGAAATGTAAAAACACAAATGTGGATAAAAGAAACCACATTACAGATACACCTACACTTTAAGAAATAAACATAATTTAAATTTTAAAGAAATAAATGGGTAATATTTTTATAAATTTGTCAGCTGTATTTCACTTCAATGTATTGCAGTTTATAGTACTATATAAGCAGACTACTTGCAGTGCATAACTATAGTAGTTTACTCCGATAGTACAAATTTCCTTGTTTATCTGTTAATTCCTATTTCCAGTAAAGATAAAAAAAAAAAGTTACTTTATTTTCCACATTATTTCAAAATTTGTAACTAGATTTTCAATTAACAACTATCTTATTCAGTTTAAAAGGTTTAATTAAATATTAAAATGAATTATAATTTGCTAAAAAAATAATAGTTAACTTACATATAAGCTAAAATGACAAATATAGGCATTTCCCTAGTAATGTTATTTATTACTCGTAAAAAAATTAAGCTTACATCAATTTTAATTTCATTTTTTTGTGTTACAAAATTTATTTATTAAAACAATAATAATAATAAGAAAATAGGGAGATGGATGAGTTGCAAAAGGTCTTCTATTTCAACATAGGATGAATTTGGCTCTTGATAAGAGGTCAAATTAGACATAACATAAACTTAGTAGGCTTTACTGTATAAAAAAGAAACTGAAATACTTCTGACAAGTATGGGTAAGTATTGTGTTGTAGAAATGCTAAACAATGTGAATAAAATTAATTTTTTACAGACCTTCCAAAAATAATTCTAATAATAAAATTATAATACTTAAAGCCTAGCTTTCCTCCCATTTCAAAAACACAAAAGCTCAATCAAAATAAATATAAGAAACAATAAACCAATTAATTATTTACAATGACAATAGTTGAGAAAAAAAGACTTACTGTGTAGACTACTGATTGTGATCCTACTTTTATCAAAAACATTGCAAAACCCAATACATGCCCAGCATAACAAGCTGTGATTTCAAGGTCATCAACAACCTGCATAAACAATATTTTATTTTAGGGTGCATAGCCAGATTTTTCAACAAAAAATAAGCACTCTTTAAGTACGTTTTATGCACTCAAAAAATATTTTTAATCACTTT